CCCAAATGGTTCAAAACACCTACCTGGAAAGGTCCTAAGACAGACACAGGTGCTTCAATTTTGAGGTGCCTGACTTTTGTCATAGGGTGAGGTGTGGGCTTTACTGAAGTCCTCTAGGGCCAGGAGGATGGTCCTTGTGCTTCAGGTGAGCATCAGGACAAATCAGGCACACCGGTGATTTACTGCAGTGTATCACCTCTTCACATGATGTTTGGGGCAGTGTAACAACTTTTCAGAACATCGACAGTGTCTGCAATTACTTTGCTTTCCATGTAAGTGAGGTTACAATCAGGTCTTGTAATTTGTGCCCTAGTATAGAATAGAAAGGAATAGTTAGCAGCACTTTTTTCCCCAAACCAATATTGTTTAAACCACTTTTTTTTTTTTCCAATTCGTCAGACCTTGTGCAGATATCCAGTGACCACTCTGTGCAGCGCCCCAACTGCCTACCGCATGCTGGTCCAGCACGACCTCACCAGGTACAGTGCGTCTGTTAGCAAGTGACCGCACCGTGTCTGTTCCAGCTATTGCTGGGCTCTTCAACGGGTTTTTCCGGGCCCTCATACCCACTTTAACTCTGAGAGTGGTGGAAATTCTGTGTTGGAGGCAGAGGCTGTGAGGAGGCAAAGCCTTTGCCTTAGCAGAGGAGGGTGACAAAACACGTTTTGCCCTGAGGCAATACAGGCAGTGAATGCAGAGGCCAGACTTCAGCCCTGAAGTCCCACATGTGGCTGCGCTGCCCTTGTCCTGCGCACCTTGGCTTTGGCAGCTCCTTTCCAGCCCCGCTCCAGCTGGAGCTGTAGGCTCTCAACCCTACCTCTTAAGAGTTCGCTGTGTCCTGAGGTCATGGGCTTGGACATACAGATGTCAGGGAGAGCAGGATTTGTCCCTTTCTGTCCTCTGATCCTCAGCAATGTCTCCTGTGTGTGAAGGTATGCGTTCAAGGCGCTGAAGCACTGTTTGACCGGAGGGGAACCGCTCAACCCAGAAGTGATGGCACAGTGGAAAAGCCAAACAGGACTGACTATCTATGAAGGCTACGGCCAAACTGAAATTGTACGTTCAGCTTTTTTGTAAAGGGTTACAACTCAGCTATCACTTAGGGGATGTCAATATCTCATTCCTCTTAGTAAATATGGAATTTGGCCCTATATATTTGCCTAAAAAGAAAGATGGCATTAGAATATGTAGCAGTTGCCTACAAGAAGGTTTATTGTTTTGCTTAGAATTACAGCTTGGTTATGTCACTGCTTCCAAGACTACTTAGGCTGTAAAATATGTGGAAATTTTTGTCCAAGACTCTCAGTGAAGTTCACAAATATTTTGGCTAACACAGATGGAAGATTTAGATCTTCTGCTAGCTCAGCAGTGGGCACAGTACAAGAACAGGAACATCTTCAGGAATGACAGTGTATATTACCTGGGCTGGTTGTTTGTCTTTTCCAACAGGGAATGATATGTGCAAATATGAAAGGAATGAAAATTAGGCCAGGTTCTTTTGGAAAGGCAGCTCCTTCCTATGATGTTCAGGTATGGTGGTAAGCTTTCCGTTTGCTGTTGATTTCACAAAAAGCAAAACATGAGAGTACAACATACTGCACGGGTCTCGGTTCCATACAGTGGTATTCAGGGCAGGCTGACTTTTTTGGTTGAGCTGTTGGCTGCTGCTTAGGTTTAGAACATGGCTCTCTTAAAATGGAAAGTTACAGTCACCTATTTGCCTTTCCTATTGCAGATTATAGATGAAAATGGCAGTGTGCTGCCTCCTGGGAAGGAAGGAGACATTGCTATCAAAATGGATGCCAAGCGGCCATTTACATTTTTCACTCGATACGTGGTAAGTCAAAAACAAATTTCCAGAGAGCCAGTTCAGGCCTGCAGCAGGTGCAACACCAAAAAGCTCTGTGGCTCTTCTTGACCTGACGATGTTTCGACTTAGGAAACTTCCATCCTCTCTCCCATTCTTCTGCAAACCTACTGTGTGATCTTGTGATAAGTTTTCCCCTATGGAATAAGCAATCACAAGCTCTTGCATTGCTGAGACAGAAAACGAGCAGAGAAAGATACTACAGGTAGAGTGCAAGAGGCAAAACTCATCTTTAAGCTTAATGCTTCCCAATATTTAATATATTTAATTGTTGCTTTTTCAACAGGATGATCCAGTGAAAACTGCTTCTACAATCCGTGGGAACTTCTATGTCACTGGAGACAGAGGGAGCATGGATGAGGATGGATACATATGGTTTATGGGGAGATCGGATGATGTCATCATCTCCTCTGGGTTTGTAGACTTCAGTTAAAATGCCAAGAAATGTCTAACAAATGCCCATATACCTTTCACCTACTAAGCATTTAATTTCTCTCTCCTAGGTATCGGATTGGACCTTTTGAAGTAGAGAGTGCCCTGATAGAGCACCCAGCTGTCGTGGAGGCAGCTGTTGTCAGCAGCCCAGACCCTGTCAGAGGGGAGGTAATTCGGGATCACTCTTTTATTCATAATGTGCCTCATGTGACAGAGCGTACACTCGACTTGCACTGAATTCTTAAGACCTTTAGTATAGCTATACTAACTTTTCCATCACTTCTTCCAAAATGAAGGGAGCAGTAATTTGCATATCCCATATTCCTTTTGGTTCTTTTTTTTACATAAAAACATAATCTTTAGTTTCCTAAAGAACATGAGACTGAATAGAAAGGTGACTGGTAAGAACTGAAGTACGCTTGGACCCACTGCCTGGAGAACTGTATTCTTTACTCTAACAACATCTGTTTACTAAAAAGGCCCTTGTATCTAGGAACTTTAAAACAGTCCTTTACAGAACTCTTACAAAATTTGGAAGCAAGAGTTTGAAACTTTTATCGTGTATTACTTAGGACCTTTACTAATGTAAGGTAGAAAGTGTTTCATCCTAATTTTAGATTTGCTTACACAAAAGCCAAGTTTTGCTCTGCTGCACCAGTGTGATACGGGAAGCCTGTACTGCAGGCAACACTCACTTATGCTCAGTTAATTGCCTCATTTGTTAGGCTGCTCTAGTTGAATTAATGCTGGTGGGTTTTTATTTATTTTCCTTTTGCAGGTGGTAAAAGCTTTTGTGGTCTTGTCTCCTCCCTTTAAGTCACAAGATCCAAAGAAACTGGCCTGTGAATTGCAAGATCATGTCAAGAAAGTCACTGCTCCATACAAGTACCCCAGAAAGGCAAGTAGAATCACAGAATGATAGACAAGTATATTAAAAAAAAAAACATAAAAATCTCAAACCCCGATTTTAACCACAGGGAGGCTAGAAACAGAAAGACTAGACTCAGTTCAAATGCTATTACAAACACAAAAAGCCCAAATATGTGCTGTGCAAGAAAAATTACATGCATTACCTGAAGGATGACTTTGGAAAGTAATAGATGCAACACAATCTACAACCAAATTAATTATTTCCCCAGTCACTAAATTCTTACTTAAATTATGTAGAATGGCGTCCTATGCTATTCTGAGAAAAAAAATAACTGAAATTCGCTCATTTACTTTTTTCCTGTTTTGAATCAGATTGAATTTGTCCAGCAGCTGCCAAAGACAATCACTGGGAAAATCAGACGGAACAAACTGAGGAGCAAGGAGTGGGGACAGATTTAGTCCCAATAAACAATCCACAAAAGCCTATCCCTATCGGTTTGTCATAATGGAACTCTTCTGTTACAACTGTAAGCACCAACATAGGATTATATTTCACCTGTTAAGCAGTGATTGTGTAATAATGAATAAGGCTTAAAAACTCCAACTGTATGGTTTTTAAATGCTTCTGTTCTTGCTTTACAAAAACAAAGCCTATGCATATGCATAAGTATCTTCCAGCCACATAATGCTTTTCAGAATTACGGTACAAGTAGTGAGTGATTACCAGGTGAAGGAGCAACATGTTCATTCTCTGAGACCAGATATTTTAATTCACAAGAGGGTTATTAATGAGGAAATCATGATACTATGTAATGAAGTTCCCATAAAGGGCCATACATCTTGCATGCATCCACATTAAGCAGGCTGCTTGAATGAATCTTGAAAGCCTCATGATTTAGGAATTAATGTGTTAGCAATCAGTGCTCAGTATGTGCAATCGTGAAAAATCAGAATTAAAGGACGCAGATGTCTTTATGACTGCAGCATCTAAATGAGAGATGTAGGCTTGACAAATGGATGGTGGCTATTCAGCAGTTTCTTCTGAAGAATTGTCGGTCCTGTCAGCACATAGATGAGTAAAACAGAAGGGAAAAAAACAAAACAAAACTCCACAAACTATCCCTGAGTCTATCTTTGTCCTTAGTAAGGTAAGCAAGTTGTCTTGAGTCATGATTACTGATGTCAGCCACCAATAAACACTCACAGTTGGCCTTCCTGTCTGGTCTCAAATGGTTCTTTGCTATGTGTAAACTAGACATTGCTGGTTTAAATCCACACACACAAAAAAACTTTAAAATTTAAAGAAAACACCAATGGAGGTAAGAAAGTTTTAATAAATGGGTAGTAGGGGAGACGTGACTAGGAAAAAAAAGTTGTCTTAATTTTCCAACTTCCAACACAATTCTGAGAGAAGAGGAAAATATAAATTAAACACTGTTGAGAGACTTAAACACATCCTTTTCATTAAACCAAGACAAGTAACCAACCATTTTCTTCAAGATGAGTCTCCTCCTGTTAGGAACCCACAAGCTTTTATTGGAGAAATGAAATCTTAAAGCTAGACAGTTGTACAGGAAGCATACTCAAAACCATACTGGAAGCAGGTTATAGCTGCACTGGATTTTAAAAATAAGATTTCAAAACAAAACTCACTCTCCTCTTTAAAACACCCTTTCAGAACTCTAGGGCAACTTTTTAAAAAATGTTTCGATTGTGTTTAGTTTTTCCTTCTACCACATTTTCTACGCTGTCAGCACATCATTTCCCTTGGGCTCAGCTTCTGATTCACCTTGATTCCTGTTCTCTTGTTTTACTTCTTTCGAGTTCTCCTCCTCGGTTTCTGGTTTTACTACCCTCAAGTTCTGTTCTTCTGTCTGACATGATGGGTTTTGTTGTGTGTTGTCTTTGTTGCTCTTCACCACCTCCTGTAGATTATATTTTCTGAACAGAACATAGTCTCTCACCACACTCAAGCCACAGACATTTTTTATTATTTCTACCACAATTGTATATTGTGGGTTATTAAGGTCTACTTTGTTCTCTGGGTTGAGGCTGCTCACGATTCCTGTAAAACAAGATGTAGTTTAAAAGATGCTGGAAAAAACGTTTCAAAGCATAATATCAATATTTCAATATCCTATTGAAAGGATAAAGGTTAAGAGAGACACAACATTGCCCTTAGTTGTAACCCATTAATCATTTCTGTAATTGCTTAAAACAGCAGAAAAGAGCAGAACTCTTAGAATATACCACCAGTAGGACCGAAGTGAAAAACTAACCCACTGCAATTACCAAGAAAAACAATACTCACGTAAGGTGGAGTATTGTTCAAAAGAAATAGTAACACATTATTTCAATACAGCATCCAGAGAGAAAGCCTTTGAGCGGTCATTTCAAAGCACATATAACTGACACTCCACATTACATTCAATGCTGTACTCCCTTCTGCTTGTTGTCTCTTAAGACATCTAAACCAACAAGGAATACTGATGTCAAGCTTTTTTAAGTCTTAGCTTAGCTTTTGTAATTCAACATGCAGATTTTAAGCCACAAGTATCTATGGCCATCAAGGCCACTTTTAACAATGTGACCTATGGTATGCGTGCCATTGTGAGCTGCTTATACTTGTTCTAATAGTTTTGCATTAAATTGGTACCTACCTGCCAATTCCTTAATTACTTCTTCCCTACTCGCATGACTGTTATTACGAGCTTTGTAAACAATCTGAAAAGTACCCTTATTAGGGGCTTTAAACCAAGGCTCAAAAAACGTTTCTGTGTATTTTTTCATATCCTCCAGGAAAGCCTTGCAAGTTCCAGAAATGGGTAGCATGCGCCGAATTACTCTTGTTTTCAGCTTTTTGGTGGTATGCATATCCTTTAATATATGGTGCACCAGGTTCTCGGGTTCTACAAGAAAAACAGCTAGGTTTGAGAAACAAATTGCAGGCATTTTCTCCCTTCTTCCCCCCTCTAAATAATAAGCTGGGTAAACGCACATTTGGCTGCACTGCTTTGAGCTTCAAAGCCTTTTCTGTAAAGAGTTGATTTAGTGTCCCAAAACTAGATAATCCGAGATTATTCTGTCAAAGCGGATTCCTCTACCTTCAGCGATTCTGCTAATAATGACATTCAGTGGTAATGCCAAAGGGAATAGGAAACCTTGTATTTGTTTGGTATACACGACTTTCTTGGACGTCACGTTCTGAGGCCTGTTACTAACACTGTTCAGAGCAGTTCACCCACAGGATTATGCAGCATCAGCTGATGTCCCACCTATGCCCAGGGTTCTGATGAAGATCACGTTGTTGGCGCCGCTCTCCACCGACTGGAAGCGCCGCTGCTTCTGCTCTGTTGAGGCACGGATCTGGCCGACCTCCTTCTTCAGGGCGGCCTCAACGTCATCCTCATCCTCCTCCCTCTTGCTTCCAGACAGGCGCTCCTGCTCCTCGTGATCTGAAAACTTCACACAAGGCCCGCCTTTGGTGTGGGGAGTGCCGGGCAACACCGCCTGCCACCCAAAAACTGCCAGGAAGGCACCTGCGCGCCGCAGGGCCTGGAGCTCATGGGCAAGGGCCTTTTCTCCAGCCAACGCGAGAGGCTTTGCTTACAGAAACCACCGCTCTCGTGTCCGTGGGGAGCACGGACAGGTGTGTTTTACACACAGCAAGGGGAGAGGCAGCCTCAGGGCGCCCTTGGCCTC